TATATATATATATATATATATATATATATATGCATAGAGTCTAATGATATGATCAACGGATTCTCCATATATTACTCAGAAGCTGAAGTGCTCTGCTTGAGGAATGCCAATCCATTCAAGATGGAAGAGGGCATTTACTTTAAATATTTGGTATATCACATATGAATGTAGACAACTGCTATACCATTTGTAGAAAGTTTGTATCTAATACTGACTGAAAGGTTTGGTCCAAAGAATCTGTTCTTATACACAAGAATAAGTATGGTAGAAGGATTCCTTGTTACCATGAAATCTGTATGCAGTTTCTCGCAGTGGTTCTCAACCTTCCTAATGCCGTGACCCTTTAATACAGTTCCTCATGTTGTGGTGACCCCCAACCATAAAATTATTTTCGTTGCTACTTCATAACTGTAATTTTGCTATTTTTATGAATCATAATGTAAATATCTGATATGCAGGATCTATTTTCATTGTTCACGACCCACAGGTTGAGAACTGCTGTAAGGATGGTGACATCTTTAATATGAAGTACCTCACTTAGAATATTTCAACAAATTAATAAATTGGCAACATCTACATGTGCTAATGTTCTGAATACCTTCAAAGTCTTTACAGTTAGACATCACTTATTTTAACATATGCAAATTGCATTTCTAAATTTTTCTGTATTACATTTTATTTTTTAGATGCTTTTTAAAAACAACTAACTTTAAAAAGTTGTTTCTCTATCAGAAGTTAAAAAACAACCACCACTGGACAAGTACTGTATTTTTAATATATGCTTTTATAGCATTTCAAAAGCAAATTTTAATTCAAACTAGTACCTTTAAAAAGAAATAATAAACTCAGTTTTATTTCAAGAGTTTGCATAGGTAGAGAATGCAAGCCACATTTTATATTTTATAAATGCACACTGTTATACAATAAATACAAAATAAAAAGACAGTAAGAACTATTATAAAGGGTGATCTGCACTGATGTACTCTGAGGATTCTCTATAATTACATTTACAGAATCTCTGTAGTCAAGTTTATCATTCACTTTCATGCCCCCACATGGGAAGTGGTAGGTGAATATCTGTAGGAATACAACTTATTGTCTGCTCCTCCACTCAGAAGTAACTGCATAAAAGGAGAGAAAAAAAAACACACAAATAGAAGACAGTTATTTCATATGATAGTAAACCTAAGTAAATACTGGTGGTTCAGATTACAGAGAAATTATGGATGAGCGGTTAACTTGCATTGTGAGTTTATACTTAAATGGACTGGTTACATCAGTTTTCACTATATTATAATACAGTATATTAAAGCTTTAAAAGTGATCATTTGAATTAGGTTAAGGTGTAATTTTCTATGAAGGATTTGCTAAGAAATGTAATAAAACGTTTGAAGGGTAATATAGTTTTACCCATTTAGGAAAATTAAGTTTTTAAAGGACAGCACATTGTTTGCCAGTAAATGGATATTACAAATTATACACGTAGCCCTACGACCTATATTTGAAAAGAATTCTTAGGCAATAGAGCTAATGTATATACATAAAAATAATTAAACTATAATTATTTAAACACATTTTATAATCTAGATTCATTATATAAGATTTTTCTAAATGGGAAATACTTTGATCCAATTAGTCTAAAGTAGCAAGTTTATGGATTTGAAATATGTCATTAAAATACTCATAAGAACAAAAGTGCTTCATATTTTCTATTCCTAATATTAATGGACAAATTTGTTCCTTCTTTGAATGGAGTCTGAGATTTTATGAAAAATATTAATGGAAACTTAGAATAGAGAATTATAAATATCAGATATATGAAATACAACAAACACCAGATTTATTTTAATGATATACTTTCCTCTTCACCAAATAACTAATAACATCTTACCCCTGTGTCTGTCCAGTCCACACTTAGAACTTTGTCTTCATGAGCAGCCAAGTCATAGAGAGGAGCCTTACAACTAAAAGATAAAAATGTTGACATGTTATGTGCATATCATAATACTAAAACAAATATATATGAATGATCAGCTAAACTTTCCTGGAAACTTTAACATTCACCATCCCTGCCTTTGTAACCACTAAGTATTAAAATTCTGGGTATTTACTTGACCACCTCTCCTGTTTTCTTACATCATTAGCAAGTGACCAAGACTTCCTACAAACAAGTATATTCAGGAAAAATGCTATTTATTTATAAAAATTTATAATTAGGCCCATCTTCACACTTCCTTGACTACTTTACTTTTACTTCCGAATCATGGCTTTATATACCGTTGATCTATTCATCTATATCAGTGATGGCGAACCTTTTGAGCTCAGCTTGCCAGCATTTTGAAAAACCCTAACTTAACTCTGGTGCCGTGTCACATATAGAAATTTTTTGATATTTGCAACCATAGTAAAACAAAGACTTATATTTTTGATATTTATTTTATATATTTAAATGCCATTTAACAAAGAAAAATCAACCAAAAAAATGAGTTCACGTGTCACCTCTGACATGCATGTCATAGGTTCGCCATCACTGATCTATATGCTGGTAACTCCCAAATTTATATTTTAGCCAAATTTCTCCGGAGTTTGATATGTATAGCCAATTGGGTGACAGCTCAATGTCTGGGCACTACACATTTAAAACAACCAAAAAACTATTGATTTCCCCCTATAAACCTTTTTTTTCTACTCTTTCCCATTATAGCAAATGGCACCAATAATTACCCAGTTGCTCAGTAGAAAATACAGGCATTATCCTAGACCCGTGGTCGGCAAACTCATTAGTCAACAGAGCCAAATATCAACAGTACAATGATTGAAATTTCTTTTGAGAGCCAAATTTTTTAAACTTAAACTATATAGGTAGGTACATTGTTATTAACTTAATTAGGGTACTCCTAAGGCTTAGGAAGAGCCACACCCAAGGGGCCAAAGAGCGGCATGAGGCTCGCGAGCCGCAGTTTGCCGACCACTGTCCTAGACTCCTATTTCTACTTTCAGTTTCTGAGCCAATCCTGACAAAGTGCTATCTTGCCCTAGCCAGTTTGGCTCAGTGGATAGTGTTGGCCTGCGGAATAAAGAGTCCCGGGTTCGATTCCAGCCAAGGGCACATGCCTGGGTTGCAGGCTCGATCCCCAGTGTGGGGTGTGCAGGAGGCAGCCTATCAGTGATTCTCTTTCCTCACTGATGTTTCTATCTCCCTCTCTCTTCCTTCCTCTCTGAAATAAAAATATATTAAAAAAACAAACAAAATCCCAAAGAGCTATCTTTAAAATATACTTAAAATCCAACCACTTATCTCTAATGCTACCCCCATAGTCCCAAATCACTATTCTGACTCGAATTATATTAGCCTCTCTGCTTTCATTCTTGCCCCTCTGCTCAAAAATTTCCAAAGCCTTCCTCATCATACTTAGAATGAAATCTAAATTCCTTACCGTGGCCTACAAGGTCCTGCTCAATATCACCACCATCTGCCTCATGTGCAGCCACTCTCCTCCTTGCTTACTCCACTCTATCACTGACTCCCTTGCTATTTTGTCGATATGCAATGACTTTCCCCCCTTATCTGCTTTTTCCTCTGCCATGATCTGTGCATGGCTCGTACCTTCACCTTGTTCAATTCATTATTAGAATACTGCTTTCAAAGAGAGGCCTCCCCCACAGAAGTGTCCCCTTTACTCTGCTTGATTTTCTTCATGGCACTTAACTATTAGTATCAGAAACTATTTGGTAACTAGCAATATCAAACTATATAAAGTAGTCAATTAAAAATATACACCTTCTAGATATTAATAATTCATGTATCATAAGGCAGTATAAGGATGTCAGAAAGCAGATTTAAGGTAAATAACAAGCATGCATTTTTATTAACATAATTTATAACTTGATCACAGTTCTATTTATTCAGAGACCACTGGCCTTCTTCTATAGTTATATTTATAATAAAGTTCAGGATAGTTTTTCTAACCTGTCCTTTCTTGTCTTACATACATATCAAGGTCAGAAAGATGTATTTTTATATACTTGTGGATTTTTTTGTGTGTCCAAAAACCCCCCACAACTACCACAAATTCTTTCAGACTGCAAAAAAACGTTAACAAAAGAAAATGCCTTTGATTCTGGTCTTTTTGACATCAATATTTATCACTTCAGTATTCACTTTGTATTCTCTGTATACAATAGGCAATTGACATATTTCTTTTGTGGACCGTAAATAGGACTTACCTCCTTGTATCCCACAGCTTGACAATGTTATCTAAAGAACCTGAGATCAGCTGCTGCTCATGGGTAGGAGACCACTTTACTGCTGTCACCCAGCCGGTATGTGAGGTTAGGGACAGCGACACCAAAGAACCATCTGAACAAAGCAAAAAAGATAACAATTACTGAATATTAGAAGTAGGCAGAAAAAATCTAAAAAGAACTATGTAGAAAGTTAGCTTTTTATACACATCTCTACTGAAAAGAGAAATTGATGTTGTTTATACATTTTTCCTCCAGTGGTTTACATGACTCACCTTTAGTCCGGGGATCCCACAGTCTGATATGCCTATCTGTACTTCCAGATGCTAAACGTTTACAAAGTGGAGAGTAGGAGATACAATTAAATACTTTATTTCCTGTCTGGAAAAAAAAAAAAGGGGGGGGAAGGACATTTAACCAGGGTGGGTTAAAATTAATCATCTCTAGAAGCTTATCACTTAAAAGCTCAAAGTTAATCCAAGAACCATTGAAGCTGTAAATCTTACCAAGGTTGACTTAAGACTGCCAGACTCAACATCCCATACTCTAATTGTGTGGTCCCAGGATGCACTGCAGATTTCTTCAGCATCTGACCACAGAACCGAGGAAATTGCTTCTTTATGACCAGACAGAGTCACGATGGGCGTCTAAAAATGAAAGACAGATGAAACTAATCTAAGGTGATACAAGTCACAACAGTGATTATCTTTAGGGTCTACTTATTTTAACGGAGGCTAGAGGGAGTCTTCCGGGTATTGGTATTTTTCAATGTAGTGATTACTTGGGTATTGTAAAAATTCATTGAGTTGTATACGTAACTGTATGTATGCCAAACTTCAATGAAAGGAAAGGTTATAAAAAAAAGAGGCCACCTTCGCCCTACCTGGTTTGGCTCAGTGGTTAGAGCATTGTCCCTCGGACTGAAGGGTCCCAGCTCAATTCCGGTCAAGGGCACGTACCTTGGTTGCAGGCTCGATCCTCAGCCCTGGTTGGGCATGTGCAGGAGGCAACCAATCGACCTCTCACATTGATGTTTTTCTCTCTGTCTCTCTCCCTCCCTTCCACTCCCTCTAAAAAATCAATGGAAAATTATCCTTGGGTGAGGATTAAAAAAAAAAAAAAAACAACTACTTCTGTGTAAAGGGATTTTATAATTCAAGAAATTCTCTTCTCAGATATATTCTTTAGAGGTTGCAAAATCAAGGCAATGCATCAATAAATCACAACTGGCACAATATCCAAATTGGCAAGGCATTTACAGTTCTTTTTAAAAAAAAATTTTTTAAATTTATTTTTATTGATTTGAGAGAGGGAGAGGAAGAGGGAAATAGAAACATCAATTTGTCACTACAGACAAATTGCCAAGGATAGCAATTCTCACAAATACTTACCCTTGTTAGTCCCAATTGCTCTGTTTTCTGTTTCTTCCTTGGTCGATTTGTGGATTCCTCCAATTCATCTTCTTCATCTGTAGGGACTGTATCATAGAAAATTAGATTGGATACTTTTAAAATTATAGTAAACATTAATTGCAGACAGTCTCAAAGAATTCTTACATTTCTGGGTACATATTTTCTCCACAGTATCTCATTTGGCTAGAATAGATATTCCTACCAATTTTCGTTAATAGAAAATTATACATAAAAACAATACCTGGGTTACCAATCTTCCAAACAGAAAAAGTAAAATACATTAAATCCTAGAAGCTAACCACTTTGATATCTCACTGTGTCTTTAAGATCATTAAGAATATTCACTACTTTACCATATCTAAGAAAAATTGCTTACTGTAAGTTGACCAGATTGGATTTATATCATGAAGGGAATGCCACAAGATAAACACATGTTAAAAGGACATACATTCCAGCCATGTTTATTCTTCCTTTACTTTTCTAACAATGAATTTAAGTGTTTCACAGATAGTTATTTTTTGTTTGGTTAAAAAAAAAAATCCTTGTTTTACATCATTTGGCCAGGTATCAAACTTCAGATGGAAAACCACATATTTGAATGCTTTATAACTATTTTATGAATTTTGAAGTTTTTCCCAAACTGGACTGTAAGTGCCCTAAGGGTAACAACTAATAAACATATCTCATTTACCCAGAATTATAAAAAAATAAAATATGCCACAAAGGGGAAAATTTCTAAACTACTTTCTGCCTCAAAACTGATTATTTTAAGCATTTTTGGAATATCTACTAAAATGGATTATATATTTCCTGCCATCTTGCACATAATTACTTAAAACTCTTTAAGCTCTTCCTGATCTCCCTGACTCTCCTTTGTAAACCGTATTTAGGGTATTATGCTGTAATACAGCAGTTACCTCAGAAGTAACAGGTGTTCTGATCTGTTTACCTGTGCCATAAACAGCTCTAGGCTACTGTTTTTAAAATTTAAGTATCTGTGAGTTTCCCCTCCTTTTCTTCTTTCAGTGTCTTCTTACTACTCTGAAGGCACCTGCCTCAGAGAGTCCTCCCTCCTCCTCCTCTAATTGTTCCTTCTAATCTGTTTTCAAAGCAAGAGGTTTGATAAAACTGTATTAAAAAGTCTTTTTTTAAGTAAACCGGCTTTAAGAAAATTCCTCTAACAGTAAAGTATATAAAAATTACTCAAAAGATACTTTAGTTTATTTCCAGATTCCTGAATAAGGGACTTCAGACAGTTATGCCCCATTACACCAAACATGCTGTTGACATGTGCAGCAATTCAGTGACATTGTCCAATTAATAAGGGGATGCTGAGGTAGAAAAACATTGTGAAACACAAAGAAATATACGAATTTTTCTCTACACTGTGATCCTTTGTATCCTACAAAACCCTGGCCCATTTTTATGTTAACATATGGGCTACATAGAATTTTCACTAAAATTCTTGAAATATTAATAAGTCAAAGTAAAAGAAATATTTACCTGTAGACCAGATCTTTAGCATCTTATCCCAGGAGCCACTGCAAAACTAGAAACAGATATATGAAAGGAAAAGAGTTTGTAATATAACCCATCATGTTATTGGCCTTGTTTTTCTCTGCTTTAGTCACCAGTTGTTAGGAAAGGTGGCCAATCACAATGAATATACGCAGGAAACATTTTTCACAGTCCTGATGGCACAGTAGCTACTTACTTTAGTCCCGGAGCCATCGACAGCTATGGAGTCCACACTCCCAGCGTGGCCTCTGCAGCAGTGCAGGGCTTTCACCTTGTTTCTCTCCACGTTCCACTCCCACAGGAGGACCGTCTGGTCCATAGAGGCACTCAGCAGCAGGCAAGACAGGTTGTCTGAAGAAAGGAGAGCACAGGAGTAAGAGACACGTAATCACAACAATGTAAAATAGATCGTGCTCTGAAACCAAAGAACTGAATTTGTTGTTGTTGAGGAAAACGTCAAAAAGAAAAAAAGCTCATGTCCAGCTTTGAAAAAGAAGCTAATTTATAGTATAAAGATTCTTCAAAAATACATTAAGAGAAATGAGTTTAACACACACAGTCTTAACTTGAAAATATGTATTATCTATATATATATAAAAGCCTAATATGCTAAGTGTCCAGTCGTCTTGTCGTCCATTCAACCAAAGTGTAATATGCTAATGATATGCTAAGACTGTTCAACCGCTTGCTATGATGTGCACTGATCACCAGGGGGCAGACACTCTGACTGATAGGTTAGCTTGCTGCTGGGGCCCTTCCAATCAGGACTTAAGTGAGATGGGCCAGACATGCCCTGGAGCCCTCCTGCGGACCCTCCCCAGCTGGCCAACCTCCCGTGTCCCTCCCCAGCCCTGATTGTGCACCTGTGGGGCCCCTTGGCCTGGCCTGCACTCTCTCGCAATCTGGGACCCCTGGGGGATGTCAGAGTGCCGGTTTCGGTTTCGGCCCGATCCCGCTCAATGCAGGAGCTGCCCCCTGGTGGTTAGTGCGCTCAGCCAGAAGCCAGGCTCATGGCTGGCAAGCACAGCAGTGAGGGCAGGAGCCTCTTCTGCCTCCACAGCAGGGCTAAGGATGTCTGACTGACGGCTTGAGCCTAAGCCGTCAGTCGGACATCCCCTGAGGGTTCCCAGACTGCAAGAGGGCGCAGGCCTGGCTAAGGGACCCCCCACTCCCCCGAGTGCACAAATTGCGTGCGCTAGTCTGATATAATTTTAGTAAGGGTTCACGTCTACTAAAGTGTGAATTTTTTATGTAATCCTTTTCTTCTTGAACACTATATTTTTGAAAGAGGTGAGAATAACTGAGGCATGAGACATTTCCTGAGCTGTCCATTTTATGCCCTAAAACTGAAAATGACTTATTTTCAACCCCTATCCAGGAGTGTTCTCCGTTTAGGCAGACTGCTTACCTTTTTTCACCCAGGCCACATCTTTTACGACGTCTGTATGTCCCACAATTGTCATTATCGACTTTCCTCCCAAGGACCAGATCCGAGAAGTCTTATCGTAAGAACCAGTCAAGATCCTGCGAGGAAATAGAAAAAGCTTTTTCAGCCCCTGAAATCAATTATATATCTAAGGTAACAACAAAGTCAATTTTGAGGATTATACTTTAAAGCTCTCCTTGAATATGATATTTCAAAACACATGAGAGCAGAACAGAGATATTACATTTGGCTTTTCCTGACCTGCTAAAAATAATAACAGAGCTACTGACAAATCCTATATTTCACTTTTACTATTGTTGTAAATACTACAACTATTAGGAAAGCTAAGCAAGTAGCTTGAAAAGCCTAACAGTCCTTGTAAAAACCATTAAACAGAAAACCACTTAAAGTAAAAATGTAACTTTGTGTAGTAACTACAGGAAGAATTCTTTGCACGTAAGCTACCACTATACACCACTCTTGAGGTGTTTTTCTACAGGTAAGGCCAGTGGGAGTCTGCTCTGAGCCAGCCACAACTTCTCGATTCCAGTCTGCCCATTTTAGCCCTAATATAGCATGATCTGCACTTTCATGATAGCAGGCCAGGAGATATGTAACTTATTATAAAAGGATTCCCCCTTCCCCCCTCTATAAAACAAATAATATCCTTGGTCTTAAAAACAGCAAATTAAATAAATGCCTTGACACTTGACCTATTCAGAATACAAATGTCACCACATCTTGACACAGAAAACTTACTAATAGATATGTTTCTTCTAGACTACAGTGAATGTAAAGATCTTTGGTGTGGTCACTGATACATGTATCACAAACTATTTTTACAAAGAACAGAGAAATCAGAGAATATTCCCATCATGCGCTTAAGAAGACTATGGTGGCATAAGAAAAGGGATATAAGAACATTCGTCTGCAATACCATTCCTCTGCCCCTTGGATTGAGCTGATCCAGTCGTCATGGAACAAACATTGCTCTGGCTGAGGTGCAGTGTACTTCTCCACGTATTCTAGTTCCACAACCTCTTCCTAGGCACAGAGAGAAATCAGGCATCAATCAGGTGGTGCAGTCTTACGAAGATAAAGGACCCCCAGTTTAATACATCTCCTTCATGTTTGTCCCCTTCAGAACCCAGAAAATCTGGAGCCATACAAAAGGTGAAACTTTATTTGACCTAACAGTATGCTATGAGTAACATTAAGAAATATTAATGACCTTGGAAAACTTACGCTAAAAGTGGGGGAAAAAAGAATATAAGAAGCCCAGCCGACATGGCTCAATGGTTGAGCGTCGACCTATGAATCAGGAGGTCATGGTTCAATTCCTGGTCAAGGCACATTCCTAGGTTGTGGGCTCGATCCCCAAGGGAGGGGGGGCATGCAGGAGGCAGCCAATCCATGATTCTATTCTCTCTCATCATTGATGTTTCTATCTCTCTCTCCCTCTCCATTCCTCTCTCTGAAATCAATAAAAATATATTTTTTAAAAAAGAATATAAGAAACTTTAAATTATAAAATCACAAAAGCATATTGTTAAATGGATACAGAGCTTCTACTTAGGATGAATTTGTAGTCTTGGAAATGAATAGTGGTGATGGTTGCATAATATTGTGAATGTAGTTAATGGCCACTAGATTATAAACTTAAAAAATGGTTAAAATGATAAACTTTATGTGTATTTTACCACAGTTCTAAAAATTGCCCCCAAAATTATATTTTAAATGATAAAAGCAATATTAATAAAAGTTTGAAAATTAGAGGGTAGAAAAATCATTTTAAATCACAATAGCCCTAAGCTATAAAAGTTGTTCTAGGTGCACAATCATTTTGTACACCTTTATGAGAACTAAATATATATTTGCTATTGCCTTTTTTGACCATTCTTCCACAGATATGAAGGTATCTTTCCATATTCATTCATCTGTATTTCTTGAATAATATACTCTCAGAAGAGAGGATTTCAAACTTGAGTATATAAAAAACTGAAATTCAAATTTCTAGGAAAAAAAATAACCAAAAGGATACCGGTTACCGTAGATTCAGCCTGATTCTAAATGGAGTTCGCCTACATTATCTGGTAATAACTTGAGTAAAATAGAGCAAGTAAGCATTTGAACTTACTGATGAGATGTTTTCCAGTTCCATATGTTTGACCAAGGGCATTCGTAGAAACTGGCCCTTGATAAGGAAATCAAACTCCACATGCTTGTGGACCTCTAAAGAAAACACATAATAAAATCATCACTGTGAGGACCTGAAGTGGTATTGCAAAGATGTATATGAGAGACTCCACAACAAACAGGTACCTATTATCCCAGTGTGGCCTCTGAGTTTCTCCAGAATAAAGTGTTAAAATCTTCTATTTCATGTGTGATTTTACTTTTTAAAAACCATCTTATTATAGAAAAATTCAAATATATGCAACAATGGAGAATAAACTTTATAATAAATCTTCATATACCTATCATAAAACTCCAATGATCAATTTATGGCCAATCTTGTTTAATCAATATTGTTGCACACATTGTTTATATTAATTTTATGGACTAATAACTTATATTCACACAGCATATGTTTAATATTTGTATCTTTATAAATGGCTTGATACTCTTACATGTTTTGAAATGTTTTACCCATTCTTATGTATCTTAAATAGTTAAAAAAAAATACCAGTATGAACACTGGCATTTGTTACTCCGTTTTGTAGAAGTATAGCAAGTGGGGCCCAAGCATCCAGATGTTTGCTCTCTGCCAACCCAGCTCGGCCGTCTTCAGCACAGTCACAATGTCTTGATTACCTTTACGTCACAACTATGACACTAAAATCTTTATTCCTAAATCTTAACCACCTTATCTACTTAGTCCTAAAAATATTTTTTTCCTGGAAACTTTTATTTCAAAGCATTTTTAAAGTATCAGCAGGGAACCCCATATATTATAATTTATAAATTTTACCATTATAAAATGTATGCAGTATAATAAAATAAGACCAAAATAAGGAAATAAAAGTGATGGAATTTACTGGAGTTAGTGGTAACTTTTCAGAACGTGTTACCTACCATTTTTAGCCTGCAGCAATTTATTAATGATGTTACTAAGGTCAGCAACTTCAGAAGCTGCAGGGATTGAGAAGGGAACATCATCTACTGCATATCTACGAAACAGAAACGAAACATCAAGATTATGTCCACAGATTATTTTAACAAATGTGCGTTCATTCATTCAACAAACATCCACTGGGTATCTACTACGTGTCAGACATTTTGCTACATGGGATTAACAAAATTAATTACCAGGTCAGCTCATAAGCTACAAACACACCATAAGGCAGGATGTGATTAGGTTTCAAATGAATGCTACAGACCTGGGGACTGTTGTTAAAAATGTTCATATATACACGTATGTATACACACAGATATATATATCTCCACAAATCTGTAACCGAATGACTTCCCAGTCTTACCAACCCCCTCTTCAGAGCTCCACTTTCTAGCCTGGTTTAGGAAAACAGCGCCTACCACCTACTTAAAAAGAAAATGAAGCTGTGTTTTCAGAAACGGACACATCGTGGGCAGACAGCCTGCAACGACTTGGTTCACGGCCCAATGACAGAATGTGCCTCCTGCTGGCGGCAGCCCCGCAGCCCTCCGGCTCCTCCACGGTCACAATTTAAATGGCGATACCAGAGGTGGGTCCCGGAGGAACCCCCGAGAGGTACCGCTGCCGCTGGGGCGGAAAACACGGTCCAGCGAAGAGTCCAGCAAAAAAAGAAGCGGGGGGGGGGGGGTGTAAAAGTGAGTGCGCAGGGACCCCCGGAAGGGGCGAGGGGCGCAGCGTACTCACTTCTTGTTGTCAGTGAAGAAGCGGGTCTGGAGCTGGGCCATCGCGGGGGTGCACAGCAAACTGGCCCACAGAGACGCGGTGGGTAACGGTCCGACAAGCCCCTCTTCCGAGCGCTGGTCCTTGGTTTTACAAAAAGAGGCGGCTCACAGTTACCTGCACCAGGGCCGGGACCCGGCTTCCTCCACCACCACGCGGCGCCCGCCCCGCGCCCAGGCCGCACACATCAACCACCGATTCCCGGATGAGGCGCCAGCGATTAGGGCGGTCGAGCCTTAAAGACACAGCGTCCCTTTCATCTCCCGGGAGTTCTTTTCATATATTTAGGCCTGAGATCGAGTGTGAAGACACAGACAGGCCCACTTCAAATCTGCTTCTCTCTCGCCTTCCCTTTTACTACATAACAGGGTGACTTTAGATCCGATATTTCAAACTCGTGTCCCAGATACTACAACCCCCAGAAAGCAGCGATTCTCAGACGCTGTGACCGCTGGGAATTGTAGTCTTTTTTTTTTGCCACCCTGCCCTCAGGATATCTTACTTGCATAATGAGATTACTTAAATATATTTCTTTTTGGTCTGGAATGCTTTTTTCCCCCTCATTTTTATTAAACCATCCCGACTCCAGCCAGCTATTTATTATATTTCTTCTTTATTCCAGCTTTGATTTACTAAAGCTGTTCCGCGTTTATTTGACCACGCATACTCACAAGCAGAGTCACTCTGCCGAGATTATTCGTGGGCTCTCGCCTCTAGCTTCAGGTTTTAAATCCAGATGAGAGAAAGGAAATACAGAAAGAAAAAAAAAAAAAGGAACGCAATCCGAGTGGGAACCGACGACGGTGGCCGACAGCGGTCTCCTCTCCGGCCCGCGCTGCGCTCACTGGGCGGGGCCGCGCCTGCGCACTGTGCCGGTCTCCATGGCGGGGCCTCGGAGCCCAGACGAGGTTGAGTAGACTCGTTTTGGATTTTCTCCCCTCTGCTCCGTGGACGTCCCTCCTCGCCCTGTAGAGCTCCCGGCGGCGGCGGGACTGGGGGAGGTGGAGGTCTGGCGGAGCTGTCTGCACGGACGGACCGGACGCTGCTTCCCAACCCCCCCCACCCCCTTCCTCCCGCCGCCTCCTCCTCCCATCACCTCCTGACCCTCCCGGTCCCTAAGCAACCGCCGGCCCCCGCCCCCTGCCGCCGCCGGACCTCGGTGGCGACCGCCGGACCCGCCTCGGGGCTTTTCCGGGGCCCTCCATGGCGAGGCCTGCCGCCCCCTGCCCGGGGGGAGGCTCGCGGGTCCCGGGGAGGCCGCTGGGGAGGGAGGCTCGGCGCCCTGCGGAGGGTCGCTGAGCCGAGGACGTGCCGCGGGGAAGGGCCCGACCCCTCGGCAGGAGCGCCCCGAGTGTGGCCCTCCGCGCAGTCCCTGGTCCCGGTTTTTAGGGTTCGGGTTTTTTTTTATGAGCCCCTTTATATTTCATATTTAAAAGGGGAAAGGCGTCTTCCCACACCACCTCCTCCGCTTTTTTATTTTTTGGGGTCTACGTTACCCAGAAGGCTCATGATTTATCAGTGACGGAGAATTGTTCTAATTAAATGTAGTTGTTTTTGGAGGATGGATGGGTGGAGAGATCCTCTACTATTGAGATTTCAGTCGCTTTTTGAGGCGTCCGCCAGGAAAGCTCCAAGAAACAGCAGCCAGCATCGGGCAGAGCTGGATTGCAAAATTTGGGGGCAGAGCGGTGTGTGCACGGGTGAAGACAACTAAAGCTCTCCTTAAAAAAAAAAAGTTACTTAAAGATGCACTTTAGTTAGATAGGCGTCCGATAGAATATGAGAAGTGATTGCAAGCGAGAACCAAACTGTTACTGGCGGGCAGTGACGGCGGCCCGAGGGCTGTTTGGGAACCGCGTGCCTGGCGGCTGCTTGGGGCGGGGGCGAAAGTAGGTTCACAGCTGCGACTGCGGAGCCGCTGAAGCTGTTGGGATGCTCCCGACGTGCACGCTGGGTCCCTGCAGACCACTGTCCGCCCCCCTTGGCTCACCCCCGTACGTATGCACCTCTGTGCCACACCTGGCCCGGCTGTAAGAACTAAATGCGCCTAGGAAGTGTTAGCCATGGTGACCGTCGTTGTCATTTAGATGCCAATCACACTCGCTCTGCCAACGTGAACAAGTAGGAATCGCCTCATGGTAAGAGGAATAAATAAAACCTCTGTGCGGAAGTCCTAGGAGAGGACGGGGCTGGCAACTAAAGCGGTGGTCAGTTCATCATGCGACTCATTGTCATGGTGAGAATGGCATTCCTTGAAGAAGCCAGACCACCTGAGGCTTGAAACAGTTGCTTAATTGAGGTCTCCCTGTTTCATTCATTCATTTGGTGGCAGTGGGTAGAAGTTTGACAGTTTTAAACATCATTCTTCTTTAACCATTAGTGATTTTTGAGTTACAGCAGTTAAAGTTACCTGAATTCAATGTCATTGAACCTCAAATAAATCTTCAAAAAAGTTATTTTTCAGGTAATTTTAAAATTATTGATATCTTATTGCTCAAAATACCTTTAAAAACATAGTTAATCCGTAGATTAATACATTTTAAAGTATCATTGATTTAAATTTATCAAAATAAAAAAAAATATAGTGCCTGATAAGAGTCAATATCGGTTTCTCTTAATTTGAATGAAAAGTACCAGAAACTCCGGCCGGGTGGTTCAGTGGTTGAGCGTAGACCTATGAGCCAGGAGGTCATGGTTTGATTCTGGTCAAGGGCACATGCGGGGATTGTGGGCTCAATCACCAGTAGGGGGGGTGGGGTGCAGGAGGCAGCCAATCAGTGATTCCCTCTCATCATTGATGTTTCTATTTCTCTCTCCCGCTCTGAAATCAATGAAAAAATATGTGTAAAAAATAAGATACAGAACCTGAAGGCTTAATGAGATAAAACTTCAATTGTCAATGCAGAAATATTGAATTCACTAAAATACATTTTTCATTTGACTGAGAACTTTAAGGAAAAACTAGTTAACAGGTATTCCAAAAATTAAGTAAACACCTAGTATGATGGCTTTGGTATGTTTTCAGCAGTGACATGTCTTATATTTGGTGGTGTCTCCATGCAATACCTAAGGTAGTTAGTGTTTTTTCTTTGAGTGTTTTCCTTGTTTACTTAGAATATTAACTGCACGTTTTTGGTTCTTAATGATTTCCTACATGATTTATTTACTACGGTCCTCATGAAGACACATTGTTATTTGGGGAACAACAGCTTGGAATATGTTTGGTGTTTTGTTTTTAGTATAGGGTGTGTGTTTTTTAATGTATATGATGATATGATGTGGTATGGTATAAAGACAGTTAGGGCTTTGGAGTCCAAATTGTTCTGGGTTTTTGTTTTTTTCCTCCTAGTTTTGAATCTGAGCTCTAATGCTCTCTGTGATCTTAAGGAAGTTACTTGAGAGCTTTGGTTTTCTTATCTAAAAATAGAGATAATAAAATCTACCTCAGAGTCATTGTGAGGATTACATGAAATAATTTGTGAAGTTCTCAAAGAGCAAAGAGGTGGGAAGAGGTGTGTATATACAGGAAATGGATAGAAACCAAGATTACAAGGAAATTTATAGGAAGAACAAATCTTAGATAAAAGAGACACTGAATACTAGCCTTAATTTTTTTTTTCCACTGAAAAAAAGAAGTTAAAATATGTTATGGTTTCTATATAAATTTGCATACATTTAAATTTTTGATGTTGATTTAGCATGCTATAACTTTCACCCACCTTTAAAAAATTAAATTATTCTATAAAATATTTGTGAACTAGTAGTCTTGATTTAATTTTGACACCACTGATTCATATTAATTTTGTATAGATCATAAAAGGTACATTATGTCATTTACCTACCCTAAAAGATGAAAGATATTTTCTAAAGTACTTTTGAGCAATATTTTTTAAAATATATTTTTATTGATTTTTTTTTTTTTTACAGAGAGGAAGGGAGAGGAATAGAGAGTTAGAAACATCGATGAGAGAGAAACATCAATCAGCTGCCTCCTGCACACCCCCTATTGGGGATGTGCCCTCAACCAAGGTACATGCCCTTGACTGGAATCGAACCTGGGTCCCTTCAGTCCACACGCCTACGCTCTATCCACTGAGCCAAACTGGTCAGGGCTTGAGCAATATTTTTAAGATGTAGTTAATAAGATCTGATACTGATATTTAATAGCTTTCAAGATCCTTTAAATCTTGAGACTAATCAAGGTACATAGAATTAAAAGAAACTCTTAAGAGTAAACCTCAAGTGGCTTTATTCTTTAGCCTGACCTCTTTGGGGATTTATTTCAAACTGTTGGTTTTAATGGATAAATTTACACAAAAGCCTATGGGCAAAAAATACAGAATAATTTGATATTAAGACAGATTTTTAGAAATTGCAGCTGAGAATTGCCTCTAAATTTTTGAACAAATAGAAATGCAGTTGAGTAAAATCAAAACAGCAGTAGCCCAAACATGGTCCACAGAGATATGAGTGACTGTAGCCTGAATAGTCACTTCCCCTCTGCCATGTATGAAATATGTATAAACAATAAAAAGCCCCTTTTTCCTATAAATTAAACCAACTTCTAACGACACTTTTTTAAATGTAATGTGAAACATTTTAGAAAGCAGTTTGCCAGCAGAATTTAATGCTTTAGTGTGTGTTCTGAAGTCCAGTCAATAACTACATATAGTATATATTTAATACTTTCTCTTTTCTGTTCTCTTATCCAAGCCCAATACTACCTGATTAAGAAATAAGCTTGTCAAATCAATTCCAAGATATTATTGGGAGTGGGGTATGGGGAGGAGGGCTTTATAGCTTCTATAGCTTCAAAAGTTGCTATGCTCCATTAGTAAATATTTTTGTGGACAAAAATGTAATCTGCTGTGGAGGTCTTTGTTTCAGTAGTTCTAGAATGTGAGAGTTGAAACAAAAACTAAGTCCAAATGTCTGATTTTATATAAAGAAACAGAAGTTAGATCACCTACCACAAGACAAGGGCAGTTCTAGTGAAGTCAGTTCTAGCCTTCAGTTCTTGTCAATTGAGTCTGATGGTTCCACTATACCAGGCTTGCAATGGCTATTTTATAATAAATCTGTATAACAAAATCTAGTATTTTTCTTTATATGTAGGAAAATAAGATAAACATTGAATATGTTCTCATTACAGAAAAAAAATGCTGCTATGAAGACATAATTATATCTCTCATATAAATGAAGCTACTACTGTCATGATTTTAGTGCTGCAGAAAGGATGAACTTCAGTGGACAAGAGGGCATTTTGAGGGGTAGTAGGATGCTTGAGGCCTGGAATTTAAATTTGAGCTACTTCCTGAAGGTAATAATTTTATTTTTAACTAATTGAAAGCAACAGCTGTCATAAAAGTTCACAATTGTCTATTATGACTTAAGGGAAAAGTCACATTACACCAGCGGTTCTCAACCTGTGGGTCGTGACCCCTTTGGCGGTCGAACGACCCTTTCACAGGGGTCGCCTAAGACCATCCTGCATATCAGATATTTACATGACGATTCATAACAGTAGCAACATTACAGTTATGAAGTAGCAACGAAAATAATTTTATGGTTGGGTCACAACATGAGGAATTGTATTTAAAGGGCCAGAAGGTTGAGAACCACTGCATTACACTTTCTATATAGGTACTTTGTTATGTTTATGGTTACTTGTTGGAAAAGAACATTTTATACCTAGATATTTGATATTAATATCCTCATTCTTTAAAAAAACCTTTACTTTGACATGATAAAAGGCAATGCACATTGCTTAGAAGGATTAGGGAAGGAAGGAGTAATACTTTACACTGCATTCAAGTTATTTTTTAAAACAGTGGCATGTACCTGGGTTGCAGATTCCAGCTCCATCCCTGTCCGGGTGAGGATTAACAACAACAAAATCAATGGAAAAAAAGGTTATCTGTATCTTAAAAATGTACTTTTAATTTCCAATTCAGCAGTGGGTTAGGTCAAGAGATATTGAAACCCAATTTTACGTATAGAATCTACTTTAAGTAGTATTTTCCCAGTGTAATCAGAAAAAGTGATACTAACCCATAGAATAGGTATATTGTAGTACATACTGAAAGGAAATTTTTGAGTTTTGAGGTCCCAGAAGACATTAGAAAAATAAGGTACCTTTCTTCCATTGGCAAAATCCCAGTCTGGGCAAAGTTCAGAAGTAAGTGGTTTATGTTTGGCAATCTTCCTAGTTTTAACATCATCCCCACCGCTTTATGAGTGCACTTCCAGGCGTTCATTCTGCCCTACATCCTCACTGCAGCATCTAGCTCAGGCCGGCTGAATCCCGCCTATATATTTTATATTAAGGGAGATGCGAAGTAATTGAGGGGGTAAGAGAGAGAGGGAGTAATAAATGGACGACGTGTGGCAGAGGTTTATGTCATCGGAGTCGATTTCTTCTTGGAAATGCAGAGCATAAACCATAACAGAGAGAGGAAATGTGACTGACAAAAAGGATAAAGAGCGAGTGGGATCGGGTGAAGGACTTATACTGTTTATACTAGAGAGAGCCAGGTATAGGATGATAGTAGGCAAGATGCAATGGCAGCCACGACGGAATATAAGATGGAGTGACGGTGCGGTGTGACATAGAGAATGACAGGGGCATCACGAGAGATATATGACATCGATACATAGATAGGGTTATGGCTGAAGAGGTATAAGCATGAGAGGAGATAATTCAGAGGGAAGGAGACGATAGAAGAAAAGTAGATGGAGAGATAAGATACTTATCCACTGACATAATATTATTATATATAAA